AGGCGAAGGTTGCAGTGAGCCACTGCACTCCAGCCAGAGCGACAGTGAGACATTGTCTCAGAACAAAAAACAAAACAAAAAAAATCTTTACCTCTGTATTACACTTCACAATTTTCAAAAATCCTCCATATACATTTCCATCAGTTTAATGAAGAAATCAAGGCCAAAAGAGGTTAAGTGAATATACAGTCACACAGGCCTTTTTCTAGATATTCCATATCCTAAACCAAGTCCCCTTTCAAACTCTAAGCCGTTACCCTTTTTCTACATCACTGCCTTACCTGGTTCTAAACCATTACCTCAACACTCAACACTGATAGATCTAAAATGCCTAAGCATTTGATTAACATTTTTATCAAAAAAGAAACAGAAAAGATGGTTTGGTTAAACGAAGTTAAATAATCTGACCAGGCACAATGGCTCACACCTATAATTCCAGCACTTTGTGAGGCTGAGGCAGGTGATCACCTTAGGTCAGGAGTTCAAGATCAGCCTGGTCAAAATGGCGAAACTCCGTCTCTACAAAAAATTAGCTGGGTGTGGTGGTGAGTACCTATAATCCCAGTTGCTTGGGAGGCTAAGGCACAAGAATGGCTTGAACCTGGGACACAGAGGTTGTAGTGAGCCGAGACAATGCCACCACACTCCAGCCTGGATGACAGCGAGACTCTGTCTTAAAAAAAAAAAAAAAGTTAAATAATCTGGCCTGGTTTTAGAATCTTTCCTCACTTGCTTATTTTACTTTCAGATTAGAAGTCCTCCTCAATTATCCCTTTCTTGCAGCTCGCCTGAATTTTTTCTTTCTGCTCAGTCTTCCTGTTCTTTCTCTATTAATCCTCTCCATCAATTTTAACATATCAGCAGCTCCAAGCAAAAAAATTCATGTTAACTATTTCAATTCAAAAACAGACGTAAGGGGCCAGGTGCAGTGGCTCACACCCGTAATCTCAGCACTTTGGGAGGCCGAGGTAGGCAGATACCTAAGGTCAGAAGTTCGAGACCAGCCTGACCAACATGGTGAAACCCCATCTCTACTAAAAATACAATTATTAGCTGGGGCTGGTGGCACATGCCAGTCATCCCAGCTACTTAGGAGGCTGAGGCAGGAGAATCACTTGAACTGGTGAAGCAGAGGTTGCAGTGAGCCATGATCAAGACATTACACTCCAGCCTGGGCAACAAGTGTAAAACTGTCTCAAAAAAAAAAAAAGACAAAAAACAGAGACACAGTAAAACAAAGCTATACATATACTCCATGCCTGTGGAAAGAGGCTATGGGTGAAAGAAAAATACAGCAAGGCCAGGCACTGTGGCTCACACCTGTAATCCCAGCACTCTCGGAGGTCAAGGCAGGAGGAATCCTTGATCCCAGGAGTTCAAGACTACCTGAGCTACAATCACGCCATTACACTCCAATCTGGGTAAGAGAGCCAGACCCTGTCTCAAACATAAACACACACACACACATCCACATTTAATTTTAGCTAACCAAAGATATCACCCAAAGTTACTAGCAAATAGCAAAACAGCAGTATCTCTTAAACTATTTCCAAACTCCATTAGTAGTCTGTAATCAACATCAACTAGAGAAAAGCAGTACATAAAAAAAAAAAACAAAAATATCAAACATGTTCAAATCAAAGAATTAATAAAGTAAAATCCTAAAGAAAGCAGTGTAAGTATAGCACAGTGCTGGGTAATGTGCTCTGGAGTCAGACTGCTTGAACATTTATTTGGTCAAGATGACAATTCTTTTTTTTTTTTTTTCTGAGACGGAGTTTCGCTCGTTACCCAGGCTGGAGTGCAATGGCTCGATCTCGGCTCACCGCAACCTCCGCCTCCTGGGTTCAGGCAATTCTCCTGCCTCAGCCTCCTGAGTAGCTGGGATTACAGGCATGCACCACCATGCCCAGCTAATTTTTTGTATTTTTAGTAGAGATGCGGTTTCACCATGTTGACCAAGATGGTCGATCTCTTGACTTCATGATCCACCCGCCTCGGCCTCCCAAAGAGCTGGGATTAAAGGCTTGAGCCACCACGCCCGGTCCAAGATGACCATTCTAACAAAGTTAACTTTCTTTCAGTCTCCACCTCCCTAAATGCTCATTTTCTCATCTATACCACAGTGACTATAATAGTACTTTCCTCATGGGATTAAGAATTAAGTAAAATATGCCACATAAATTACACAGCAAAACGTATGAGACCATCATCATCTAATAAATGTTGGCCACTATTATTTTTAGATCTACCATTTAGAAAAGGAGAAAAAAGGAAAATATAAAGAGTAGGGAAGATAAAAGAAAATGTGATGTGACTTTTGGGGAAAAGCAGCAGTCCAGCAATAGCTCCAGTTACTAACAGGTGGAACTATTTATTTCAATCTCCAGCAAATAAAATACTGAAAATAATCTGTCAAAATGTTCAAATAAATCTGTCCTTGAAGAACTGTTCACAAATGTTATGGACTATTTATGGATTAAATTTAATTGTTAAAAACTCTGATCTCAGCTGGGCATGGCAGTTCACGCCTGTAATCGCAGCACTTTAAGAGGCAAAGGTGGGCAGATCACTGGAGTCAGGAGTTTGAGACCAGACTGACCAACATGGAGAAACCCTGTCTCTACTAAAAAAAAAAAACTGAAAAATTAGCCAGGCATGGCAGCACATGCCTGTAATCCCAGCTAATCGGGAGGATGAAGCAGGAAAATTGCTTGAACCTGGGAGACAGAGGTTGCAGTGATCTGAGATCCCACCATTGTACTCTAGCCTGGGCAACAAGAGGGAAACTCCATCTCAAAAAACAACTATGTCTGGAGTAATCTTTATCCTGACACTACTGTTTAAGGTAACTATTTCAGTAATGGCAATTTAGAAGAAAAGAAGGCCGGACGTAGTGGTTCATGCCTGTAATCCCAGCACTTTGGGAGGCCGAGGCAGGCAAATCACCTGAGGTCAGGAGTTCGAGACCAGCCTGATCAACATGGTGAAATGCTGGCTGTACTAAAAACACAAAAAAGTAGCCGGGTGTGGTGACAGGCACCTGTAATCCCAGCTACTTGGGAGGCTGAGGCAGGAGAATCACTTGAACACAGGCGGAGGCTGCAGTGAGCAGAGATTGCGTCACTGCGCAGTAGCCTGGGTGCAACAGAGTCAAGACTCTATCTCCAAAAAAAAAAAAAAAGAGAACAATCACAAATAATAAATGCTATATGGTTTTCTAGGAATAATGATCATTGGACTCCAGTTCAACTTCTTAATCATATTTAAGATGCAGTCTTAGACAAGTAACTTGAAAGGTCATTGAATTGAGGAATGCACAACATACAGGCTCTCCCAAATGAAGGGGAGTAGAATCTTCTCACAAATTTTATAAATCAAGGTAGACATTTAGAATTACTACACACAGGTCTGACAGAGAAAACACATCATACCTAGTCTATTATGACCAAGGGAATTACTGAACTCTCTAATATCAATTTCAGAGAAGAAAAATGCTCTATTTTACACTAACACCTCTTTGGCTCTATTGCTAGCAGAATTTCAACAGTTAAAGCAAAAAAAAAAAATTCAAAATAAGCAACTGACAAGTTACTATGTTAGGCCACCTTGGCAAAGGTTCAAAAATTATAATCTTGGCCAGACCCAGTGGCTCACACCTGTAATCCCATAATTTTAGGAGGCCAAAGCATGGGGATCACCTGAGGTCAGGAGTTTGAGACCAATCTGACTAACACGAAGAAACCCTGCCAAAAACACAGAATTAGCCGGATGTGGTGGCGCAATGCCTGTAATCCCAGCTACTGGTGAGGCTGATGCAGGAAAATCCCTTGAACCCAGGAGGCAGAGGTTGCAATGAGTAGAGATCGTGCCATTGTACTCCAGCCTGGGCAACAAGAATAAAACTCCATCGCCCCCCCCAAAATAATTACAATCTTTCATCTCAGAAAAATAACTAATTGAAATACACTCTAATTTTAGTTATACCGATGTGTTCACTAGTATTAACTGCCTAAAAATTAAATTTTGTCATTAGAGAAAAAAAATTAAATTTTAGTGTATCTCTTCAAAAATACTCCTGAATGCCTGTGATTCACTGAAAAATTAAATGTCGTAATTAATGGTAACTGAAAACACCATTTAATCCTGAAAAATACAAACACTAAAGATTAACTCTCCCACCTGTCAAAACAATTTCTATTATAGCAATTAATATTCACAACTTTTTTTTAAAAAAGCTTTGTTTATAAACTTAGGCCACCATTACCACTTGAGTGAAAAAAAAATAATGTATACTCATATTTTTTTAAGTTATTTTAAAGGTTCTTAATTTAGTTGCTCAGTTCCTCTCAGCTTCTGGTCCTGGTAATACCCGCTTTTTTTGAAAGTAATGTCTTAAGGAATAATTTGAAATACAAAACCAACTGTTTCAAAAGCTTAATTTCTGTAATGGATTAGTATGTTAGGAACAGTTATGCCTGAAAACAAGCTGGTTCATGAAATACATTAAAAGCCACTACCTGTAATATAACCAACTATGTGACTCCAAATGCAACACTACACTGCATTTGGAATGCAGGCTAAACTCACATTTGAAAAGTAAACTGGCTATCAAGACACATATATTTAGAATGCAAATTAGCTAGAAAGACACGTGGTGAATTATTTGTTGGATTTTTTCTACCTTTCTACCACTATGAATGAATCTATCAAAGTCTAAGGCGAATACTGGCCATATGAATTTAGCTTTTTACTCAAAAAGCACAAAAACTTGTAGCTTAGGACTGTTTCAATCTGAAATATTCCTAAGCCTTAAAAGTTTTTTCTGAATTTCAGTTTACTCAGACAATGGTTAATAGCTGTTTTCAGACTCTCCAGGAAACTGAAACCAAGCAATACTCCTTGCAAGAAACTGAAAGGCTTCCAAGAAAAACATAGGATATACTCGACTCTCATTACAGTTTACAAATGAACATTTGATTTGCCATAATAGTACTTACAAATTCCAACAGGACTGCACAGGAAGGTGTTGGTTTTTTCTCTGTAATCTTTGTTTTCCAGTTTGTATTTTTATTTTGTATCCTCTGAAATAATATCGAAGTTCTTTGAAGATATTTAACCTACGACTATTTGACATAGAGTTACTTCAAGTCAGCTACCCATACTTCTGTTTTAAAGTTTTCATATGGCTATTTCCCGAATTAGCCAAGTTCTTTAGATTTAAGAACAGTCTTTGTATTATTCCATGTACTTGCCACTGTTGTACTTGTCCACTCTAGATGAAATATCCAATTTATGAGCCAAAAAGCAGAAACAAAAAGAAAATTTCACATCTGAAGAGCATTCCTAAACATCAGCATTTACAGAGACACACATAGCTATCTCAATACTACCATGCTGTTGGGAAACTGCAGCATCTTAAATTTCCACGTAAGTAAAAGATAAAAGGAAAAAAACTGTGGATTCTTTCAATGTCTTCATTTAGAAAAAGTGTCCCATTGTGACATGACAGAGCTGAAGTCAAAAAATCCTAAAATTTTCAATAAAGGTAAAAATAAACTGCCATGAAACTTCAGTAACACTCAGGCATTTGAAACTGCTGCAACTACTCAGTACACAAATCAACGTCTCTCACAGTTTCGGCTGAAGAACCCCAACAACGGAGTGGGGGAGGGGGAGGCAAAAAATTACCACCAGCTGAAATACTGTAACCAGTTATATAATCCGTTTGAACCAAAATACTGAAGAAATGCTGCCCGGGTCTCTAAGTGGCTTGCTGAATTGTTCACTACTATCAATTCACTTCATAGACGATTCTTGCCAATTTTAATAAACTTCTGGGGCAAAATTATCCAAAAACATTGTAAATCCAAAATGGCCACTTAAAATATCCGGGGCCTTTTACACAAAACCTAGAAGATGATCTTCATATCTGAGTAATTCAATCACCTGTAAAAGTCATAAAAAAAATTATATATTGAGTTTTGATTTTGAGCTACAAAAAAATCAATACCCACCTTAAAAAGTCAACCTCTGGAAAGAAAATCACTTCTGTACAACCCTGCAGGAGAGAAAAGCGCTTTGCCCAAGCAAGCACCCGATAAAAGTCTACTGAATGAACAAGACATCGGAGTAGAGGGAGGGAAAAACGGTAGGTGACGGTATTCCGGAGGGCAAAGGCTGATTTCACCTGGGAAGGGGTGTAGACCCAATATTGTGGGATTACATAAGCAAACCTTCTTACACTTCTCGAATAAATATTAAAACTATGAAACTGGCACACAATCTTCCAAAAGACCTTCTCCAACCCTATTCGATGTACCAAGGGAAAACGAATAGACAGGTGTGCTGCCACGGAGCATTAGTAAACGTAACTCAGAGAATGAGAAGTATAGAGACGCTCCCTCCAAATCAGAACGTCTCTAAGAGGAGGCATATTTCCCCCAGTAAGGCCAGTAAGGTGAACGAGAAGTAGGGCAAACCCGCTTCTTAAATGCTCCTGAGGAGACTTCCCCACCTCTGAGGGAGCAGGGGGCTAAAAGGTGTAGGTTCCCACTTCCTCGAATAGAGAAAACAGATTTCTCTCCCCGAACTGTGGGGGTGGAAGGTACCGGGCCCTTTTCATAAACCACAGAAAGAATGGTTCTTTCCCAAAAAAGCCCAGGTCCCCCTCAGACCCCACAGGACTTGGAGAAACAAAGTAGCCTTCTCCCCAGTCCAAGGCAAGTGCCACGGACCTGGGAGAGGCGGGGAAAGCTGAGGCGCCGCTGAAGAAACCGCGGAAGGCCACAACTCGGCCTCGACTCCCTCAGCCCTGAGAGGGGTAGTGGTGCAAACGCAGGCGAGCGTGTGCGAGAGGCTGGGGGAAAGAAGGCCGAACACCGAGGGCGTCGGACCCGCTCCCAGCCTCCGCCAAACGCCAAACACCCCCCCCAGCCAGCCGCCGGAGCTAAGCCACCCACCCCCTCCTCACAACCGCCACCTCCCCACTCCACCCGGGCCGAGTCAATAGCTACAGGGGCCTATCTGCGCCTCCCTCTCCTCTCACTCCCTGCTCCCCGCCGCCCCTCCGTCCGTGGGCAGCCTCATACCTCGCGCCGCCAACGCCGCTCCCGACCCCTCAAACCCCAACACGGACACAGGCACCCCCCTCCTACCCCGGACTCGGGCGTGGAGCCTAGAGGACGCTGTTACCTTCTGCCGCACCAGAGGTGCCCCTGGCCTGGGGGTGCCGCCGCGCTCGATCCCGGGAGAAGGTTTTCGGTACTTTGAATAATCCCCTTTTGCCGCTTTTCCCTCCCCCACAACCAGTCTCAGTCCCAAAATGGCGCCGACCCGATCCGCAATGTTCTGCGCCAAGTCTCGCGAGATTGTGGAAGGTGGCGAGGCGGGGAAGGAACTAGAGGGGTTGAGGGGACCGGGGGAAGGCGGGGCGAGGAGAAGGAGGGAGAAAGGGTGTGGAAGAAGCGCTGCGAACGAACCTACTGGGCGGGACAGCAGGAAGAGCGCCTCCACCACAGAACCTTCTGGCCCAAGTAACCGCTCACGCCGCGATCAAAGAAGCTCCGCCCTCTACGTCGGGCGCCTGGGGGGGGGGGGGAGAAGGCGTGGCTATGCCTGGAGGCGGGGCTTCGAGGAGGCCCCGGAGCAGCTGCGCGCGGGGGGTGGTGGCTCCGCGCGGTGACGTCAGGAGCAGCTGGAGTCGGGGATTACCCCCTGCTGCTGACGTGAGGACTGTGAACAATCGGGAACGTTCGGTGGAAGGGGGAATTCCCCGCCGCTCCCTGAGGAGCCCCCTCCTCCCGCACTTCCCCCCGCCCGGACTGCCTCAGAGCCGGGGCTGGTGGGGCCGCGGGAAGGGCGAGAGGGGGGCGCTGCGCCGGGAGGCCGCCGCGCGGGCTCGGGTGGCGCGCGCCGCAGTATCTTCCCCCGGGTCTAAGCTCCCGAAGCCGCGCTGCAGCTCCTCCGAGCTTTGAGCTGCGGAAGACGCTGCGGCGAGCGCCTCTCGCCGGGTACCGCGCTCGGGCCTGGGTGAATCTGCGCTCACACCGCGCCTATGCCCAGCCGTGTGCCGGCGGAACGTCGGCCAGGTCGGCGCCGGAGCGATCGGGCGAGCTGAGGGGAAGCTCCACCGCGGCAGGCGAACGCGGACTGTGTCTGGCCTGAGAGGTGCACACGAGAGGCCTGCAGCGGAGGAAAGCCGACCTGCTGGGAACCAAACCCAGACTCTCTTGAGGATAGAAATGGCTGCTAAATATAATTGTGCTATTTTTCTTTCTACTGCATCTCCGCGTAGGCGAATTATTTCGACGGCCAGAGTCTCAGACCACCACATAGCCCATTCGAGTCTCTAAAATAATCAATGATGTTCACAGTTGTTTCTCTAATTGTGACACCTTTTCGCCTTATAACCAACCGTAGCCTCCCTTTTAAACCTGGGAAGTTGGCATTTCAGGAGAAAGGAAAGTCACATTTGTTTAGAGGGAAGGTGTGGGGAGGTCATCTCAAAGAGAGAAAGTCTGAAAAATAAAAAATATTTGGATTTTGACTCTCCCCTAAGCCACAAGGACTTCGTAACGTAGAAACTTCATGGTATTTGTACATGCATTATGGGGTTTGTAGTTTAATGGAATGTTTCTAAGAGATACCTGAAAAACTGGTGGAATGTAAACTCACTAAAATTTACTGTCCCCAACCTTTTGTTTAAATCTTTATTGGGAGTTGACCACTTTGAGCAATTAATAATGCTCCTCTGGGGAGCAAAGGAAAGGGGATTAACACTTGCTAGATGCCTTCCCCAAGCCAGGCATTTTAATCCTTATAGCACCCTCTGAGGTGGGTACTATTTTGCTCAGTTTGCAGGTAAGGAAACTGGTTGGGATTGACGTATTTAACTTACAGAATGTGGAAGGTGGGCGTCACAACTTGGCTGCACCATTTAAACTCAAGTCTGTTAGGGGCTTGATCCACTTTTTTTTCTCTACACCACATTGTTTTCATAGAAGCAACTTATGTATTAGGAGAGGAACTGCTCGTGCATTTATTTGTAAGCGTGATGTCAAACCTAGAAAAAATAAAGGAAACAAAACAAGGAAAAAACTGCTAACTTGGACCCACAATTTGTGCCTTTCGTGTGACAGAAGACACTATAAAGTTGAACAGCTAACAGTGAAACAGAGGAACAATTGTAATATATCACAAGCAAGTTTATATATATATATATATATATATATATATATTCGGTTATTTTTAGTATATATTTTATTTGCATAATAAAATAAAAAGAGCTCTTACAAATTATTAAGGAAAAGATAACCAACACCCATTCTTAAAAAGTTAACGGCAGGCCAGGCACGTTGGCTCACGCTCATAATCCCAACACTTCAGGAGGCTGAGGCAGGAGGATCACTTGAGGTCAGGTGACCAACACTGCAAAACCCCCTCTCTACTAAAAATACAAAAATTAGCTGGGCGTAGTGGCAGACCCCTGTAGTCCCAGCTACTCCATAGGTGCGATCTTGGTTCACTGCAAATTTTGCCTCCTGGGTTCAGGTAATTCTCATACCTCAGTCTCCACTGCACTCCAACCCGGGTGACAGAGGAGACCTTGTCTTGATACAAAGTCAGCCAGGCGCAGTGGCTCACACCTGTAATCCCAGCATTGGGGAGGCCAAAGCCGGCAGATCACCTGAGGTTGGGAGTTTCAGACCAGTCTGACCAACATGGAGAAATAAAATTACTAAAAATACAAAATTAGACTAGATGTGGTGGCTCACAGCTCTAATCTCAGCACTTGGGAGACCAAGGCAGATGGATCACCTGAGGTCAGGATTTCAAGGCCAGCTTTACCAACATAGTGAAACCTCATCTCTACTAAAAATACAAAAATTAGCTGGGCATGGTGGTGCCCAGTTGTAATCCCAGCTACTCAGGGGGCTGAGGCATGAGTATCGCTTGAAACTGGGAGGCAGAGGTTGCAGTGAGCTGAGATTGTGCCAGTGCATTCCAGCCTGGGAGACAGAGTGAGACTCAATCTCAAAGAAAAAAAAACAAACAAAAAAATGCCAAATTAGCTGGACATTGTGGCCCATGCCTATAATCCCTCAGGAAGCTGAGGCAGAAAAATCTCTTGAACCTAAGAGGCGGAGGTTGCAGTGTGCCAAGATGATTGCAGTGTGCTGAGATGGTGCCATTGCACTTCAGCCTGGGCAACAAGAGTGAAATTCCGTGTTGGATATGGGTTCTCGGTATTATAAAGGATCAACACTGAGACAAAGGGACCAGTTTTACTTTATGCAGAAAGAGTGGGCCCTGATAGCAGTCTTGCCACAAGAGCATGACAGCACACTTGGACAAAGGAGTCAGGATTATTTATAATCTGACACGTCCACCCTGCTGCTGTGTCTGGTTTCCATTGGCTGGAATGGGACCTCACATTCTATTCTTGACCCCATTGATTAACAGCTTGAGACTTTCCTAAATAGGCTAGGGAAACAGAGAACAAAGAAAAAGGAAGTTGCTCACTAGATGATCAGGGAAGTGCTTCCAAACAAGGAATGGCATGAACTATGGGCTGGAACTCGCCCGGGCCTGTCGAGGCTTGCCTGAGTAGGCTAAAGCAGCTAACTGGAAAAGTATAGGGGCTTTTAGGGGCTAATAGTGGATAGAGAGTTTTGGAGTGAGAAATTATTATCCTTTCAGACCTTAAGATGGAAACTTTGAAGAAAAATTTCTCCACTTCTCACACTCCATCTCAAAAAAAGAAGGGTATGGTGGTTGGTGCATCTAATTTCAGCTACTAGGGAGGCTGAAACAGGAAAATCACTTGAACCTGGGAGGTGGAGGTTGCAGTGAGGCAAGATCACACCATTGCACTCCAGCCCGGGTGACAGTGTGAGACTCTGTCTCAAAAAAAAAAAAAAAAAAAAAATGGTTATAAGGACTAGGCACTTATTTGCATTAACCATATCAAGAATGAAATTCTTAATATGAGCATGCCTTTCTGGAAGATAATTTGGCTTTCATAAAAATGTTAAAGTCTTTAAGATACCCTTTAAGCAGTTATTTTACATCTTGGAATTTATTTTAATAAAAGAATAGGAAAGGTGTCCAAGAATTTATGAAGCTGTTCATTGATAACTTGTTTAAAATCTGACACAAAAAATAGGCTGGTCCAAGTGCAGTGGTGTTTTCAACTAATTAATCACAACTGGTTACAGATTTTTTTGTTCCTTCTCCACTCCGACTGTTTCACTTGACTAGCCTTACCAAAAAAAGAAAATGAGAGAAGAAAACCACACACAAAAAAAGAAACAACCTAAATGTCTATAAATAAAGAAATTGACAAAGTAAATTATATCCATAAAGTGGAATATGAAGCCATTAACAATGATATTTATAAACAGATAGTCACATGTAAAGATGCTTACAACACGCTATTAAGAAAAATGGGCCAGGCTCAGAGGCTCACGCCTGTAATCCCAACCCTTTGGGAGGTCAAGGCAGGTGGATCACGAGGTCAGGAGTTCAAGACCAGCCTGACCAACATGCTGAAACCCTGTTTCTACTAAAAATACAATAATTAGCCAGGCATGGTGGTGCGCGCCTGTAATCCCAGCTACTCAGGAGGCTGAGGCAAGAGAATCGCTTGAACCCAGGAGGCAGAGGTTGCAGTGAACCAAGATCAAGCAACTGCACTCCAGCCTGGGTGACAAAGCAAGACTCCATCTCAAAAAAAAAGAAAAAAGAGATAGATTACAAAACTGTGTATGTAATATCCCATTATTGTCAAATAAAAAAGTATTATCAAAGGAAAAGTTTTGACAGACTAGACACAAAACGTTAACAATGCTTATTTCTAGGTGGCGGACTAATAGAAGTTCTTTATTCTTCATACTCGCTAAGAGCATGTATTACTTTTTTTCAAAATGGAGTCTTGCTGTCACCCAGGCTGGAGTGCAGTGGCGTGATCTTGTCTCACTGCAATCTCTGCTTCCTGGACTCAATCCAGGATCAGGTGATCCATCCACCATGGCCTCTCAAAGTGCTAGGATTACAGGCGGGAGCCACTGTGCCTGGCTTACTTTTCTAATTATAGGGAAAAAAAAAGCTATATCCATGTCCACTCTGAGGAGACTAAAAAAAAATTTTAAGAAACAAAGCACACCTGTAATCCCAGGACTTTAGGAAGCCAAGGAGGGTGGATCAGGAGGGCGGGAGTTTGAGATCAGCCTGACTAGCATGATAAAACATCATCTCTACTAAAAATACACAAATTAGCTGGGCATGGTGGCGTGTGCCTGTAATCCCAGCTACACAGGAGACTAAGGCAGGA